AAATAAAATAAAATTAAAAAAAAAAAGTGAAGGAATGTGTTCAAAAGAAAAAAAAACTTGGATGAGGAAAAGCACAAAATAATGAGAAAAGGAAGGGTAAAATTTATAGTGATATACATATACAGGATAGTTTGCATAATTGTACTGCTGATTCCTGCTAGTCTATTTAAATGAGCAGTTAATGCTTAATTTTTTCTTCTCCACTTTGTTTTGTTTTGTTTTTAATTTTTACCAATTTTGCATGCTTATATCTGGTGATGGAAATAACAAATTTAAAAACATTGTGCAATATAACAACCACTGTTGAATTCCTATTATTTTGTTTAGTGAAATTCCCTATTGTTTCCAATGCTTTTTACTATTTTTATTCTCTTTAAATTAAATAAATATATTGAATTACATATATTGATCCACTCTATTATCTATGAAATAAAACCAACTTGAGCATGGTGTATAACTTTCCAGCATGTTGTGAAATTTGATTTACAAGAATTTTGTTGGATTTTTTGAAAAGTTTTCATAAGGGATGCTTGTCCACATGCAAAAAGTCACTTTTGATTAATTTTATTGGCATATGTTGGACATATCTGCTGCTCACATTCATCAAAAGGAATTCATATTTGTGAACATTGTATCTTGATTCTTTTTTATCATTTATGCTTGCTCCTTTCAATCCTTCTTCCTCTCTCCATTTACCAAATAATTTTTATTCTTTTCTTTTTTTTTCTTTAAGGAGGGAAGGCTTATTTTTGATTCACATATTGTAGAGGTTTCAGTCCATAATCAGCTGGCTCCAGACAAGATGTTGTCTCAGAGCACAAATAGTTCATGATGGACAGAAGGCAGCCAAGCAGTGAAGAAGCTGAATCCCTATTCTTTTCTTTCTGTGCCTTTAAATATTTTATCCATATTTCCTCCTTTCCCTTCCCGTCCTTGTTCCCTTCCCATTTAAAAATTGTCATCCTACTTCCCAGTCTCTATCCTCAAGTTTGACCCTTGTTTACCCTTAAGACTTTCACACTAGAGGGGCCGGGGAGATGGCTCAGTGGACTAAGTACTTCTCTGGCAAGCGCAAGGGCCTGAGTTCAATCCCCGGTTCCACAAAAAAA